AGAAATCAGTTCAAGCTTGAGAGATAAATGGTAGTTGCTAAAGAGATGGGATGTGGTGGCATTGCAGAGGTTTTTAATGTAGTTGATGGTGGTCCCTTTGCATGGGCTTGCTGAAAGCAGGCTAATGTAGAAAGCCTCTTTCTCATTTTCTTGTACTTTTCTCATGACCATCRTCTCTCCTTTTACCTGAGTTCCCCATAAATCCAGGCTTTCAAGTCCGGGATTCTGACGGTCTCCTCTGAACCCAGCATGTAGTCATGGTGCTTCTGGAGGGTTTGGTGCTTCCTGTTGGGAAAGAAGTTTTCAGAAGGATGGGAGGGAATGATATTCTCCCTTTTTAGCACAGGAGCTGAGATGGTTTTGTTTGCTCAGCTGGCAGTGGTAAAGGYTGTCTTATGTGAAGAAGACGTTTTGGGTGTTGTGGAAGTGACAGAGCGAGGGTAGAGCAGTGCAGTCTTGCACAGACGAGGTGTCAGCCACTGTGTGGAGTAAAAGGGAGGTCCTACCTCACTCTCCTGTTGGCCTTGCTCACGTGCAGCTTTCTGCTTGCACACAGCTCGTGCTATTGGAGAACCTGCCATCTGGGAGCATTGAGCTGATTCAGTCTTTTGCTTTGCAAAAGCAACTGATTTTTATCCAAAGGCTCCCTGGTGGATTTCATGGTATAGTGCCACTAGCTTGCAGTCGTGGTATCTAAATCCTGTCGTGCTTGTTTGAAGAAAAAAAAATCCCTTTGACTTCAGTTTATTTGAACATTCTTTGGTTTTTAGTGGCAGTGATGCAGTTGTAACAGCGAGGAGCTGTTTTTCAACTTTTGGAGTTCTGGAGTTGCTAAAACCAGCAAATCTGAAATGTAGCCTTCAAAGATGCAATATATTTAAGTTAGGGTGCAGAGGCATTTGAARGTAAATTTTCAGGTGTTATCTTTATTAGGCTAGAAATTATATGTTTAAGAGAAGAGTGAACAGAAAGGATGACTTTTTTGAACAGAGAGCAACCAATGACTAGCAGGATCATGCTTAGAGCAGAAATGTTTGCATAATCATGAAAAATGTGCTTTTTATTAGCATTAAGGCTTTCCTCCCAATAATGCATCTTAATTGGCTCTTTTACTACCTGCATGTGCAGCGAGAGGGGGTGGCAAACAAACTGCCTCCAGGGCAGAACTGACCTGCCTTCTGACGTTGCCTTCTCCCGTCGCCTTGTGTGATGGATTATACACCAGCAGTCACTGACGGCCAATCCTTTCAGAAATGAAAAAAATCTGTGCGACTTGTGTGAGATTTCTGAGCAGAAACTGACCTCTGTGGTCTGATGAGAGCCGACTRCTTTGTTTCTGCCCCTGAAGAGCAGTGAAGAGCTCGTCTTGGTAGAAGGTCGTTTGGATTCATTGTAAAGTTGACTTCTCTAGGAGGTTGCACAATGACATAAGACTAAAGCATTCGACTTGCAGACCCCAGCTGACTGAATCAGATACCTGTGAAGATTTCCTAGGAGGGAAAGGATGATTCTGCTTGCGGGCCCTTCTCTTTGTGATGGGATTAAAGCACTGCCAAAGTGCTTACAGCAAGGTGCAGAGGGGAGCTAGCCGAAAGCCAGGAGGGTGATTCCAGGTCTCTGTTGGTGATGGGGCGGTTGGGTGCCCTCCCTGGCGCCACGAGGGCAGAGCTGCTGGTGAGCTGCAGGGGTGGCTCGTCCGGGCCTGCCCGCTGGGCGCCTCTCCCTGCATCCCCYGGGCAAACTGGGCGAGGGCTCTGCTGAAGGCTCTGCTGCCCTGCCTTCCCTCTCCGAGTTTGTAGTAGGGGCTGAAGACTGTAGGGGTTAATTAACAACTGATGGTGGTGGATGCAAAGATGGCTGGAAATTAGTGTTTACTTGAGCCTGAGAGTTCGAAGGTAGTGTGAAAATGCTGCTTAGTGAGGCTGGGCGGGCGCTCAGCGTGCTTCCCTGCCCGCCTTGGTCGCCTGCGCTGCGGGCTCTGCAGTGAGTGATCTCCTGAAGCTCCCCGACCTCGTGCGCCTTCGCTTGTTTATTTTAGGACTAGGAGTTTATAGTAACGCTGTTTATACTGAAGATGGGTGAACCCTTGCAGCAGCAAGAGAAACCACTGTGAACCTCTGCCCTGAACTCAAACCAAACTCTTTTGTAACCTCCAAAGTTGTGTTTCAGTTTTTGGTGTTACTGTGCTTTATTCTGTCAGGGCTGGAAGCAAGTGCCAGAACAGACATGGTATTTACAATGCCCACCTCAAATTTCACAAGCAAATCTATTCTCGTAAGACTTAACATGGGTTTCTTAGACCTCACGAATTTCAGTAGTGAGTCCAGTCTTTCCAGCTGCTGCTCCTCAGTGCAACAAGCACAAGCTGCTTCTCCGCTGAGGTTTCCCCATCGCTGTTTCCTCTGGACCCAAGGGACAAGATCCTGTTTATTGAGCTAGTAAGCGTTTCCCAGGGGAAGGTGCGCAGGTGACTGTGGATGAAGTCCCGAGCTGTGCCGCGGCTGCGTTTCCGCGCCGCGCAGGCGAGGTGCCGGGCGGTGCAGCGCCGGCCGCGGTGCCGCCGGGCGGGCAGCGAGCCCGCCGCGCCGCTCGCCCGCGCGACCGCAACACGTTCCCTTCTGGGCTCTACCAGTCTAAAGACAGATTTGTTTTAAGAACAAAATGTGACTGAGGTTTCTGGGGCCTGAGGTTTCCTCTGATTTATCTGCTGTCCTGTAGGCTTTTCTGTTTCATGCTCCAGACTTGGATCCAGTGTTGAGCTATCTGTCCAGTGGAGTCTGATAGATTAGTAGGGCCATTTGTAGGAGTAATCAATTTGGGTTGTGTCTCTTTCCCTCTTTCCTACCCCTGAGGAGGAACAGTCTTCTCCCTGTGTTTATTGTTGTATCGGAGAATGACCTGATGTTTGTTTTAACACTGAGATGAAGCTGAATTCACTGCTGTCCCGCACTCCTTAAAGCTTGTGTGCTACTTGGATATTTATATCATGCTGACATTTGCTTACTTTAGGAARGCTTTATTTCCTTGGAATGTTTATCATGGTATCCAGGCATTTCCATGGTGAACTGCTGCTGGATCTGCATGTTGTGCAGAGTTACCTGGGTTCAAGCCGAGCCGCCCAAGGCAGTTAGCTGTCRAAGAGCGGCCGCAGCTCGGGGGCATTGGCTCGCTGAAGGAAGAGCTGGCAAGGGCTTTTCCTGGCCTGACGTGGAGCAGCTTGGAAATCACTCGTACCTCACTGGCTGTGGAGAGGGCTTTTGTGTAGCACATTATGGGATAGGTAGAGAGGCCTCTCCCCGCATCACTGGCATCATGGAAGGGGTGCCTGTATTTGATGTGATCTGCTGACCTAGTTATGGCCTGGAATGGCAAATAAGATTTGACATCTCCACCTCTTGTTAATTCACCCCTGATTCCCACCTGGCTCTTTCCCCCAGGTTACGGGGGAGGGCGGATGCGGAATCCAGCCCCAGCCTTCCCAACASGCTGTGCCGCTCCAGCCCCCTGGGTGCCGGCAATAGGAATGACCAGCTTGAGGCTGGATCGGATCTCAGCCTCCTGTTGTTTCCCATCAGCTTATACRGCTCTCCTGGGCTTCAGGGGCTGCAACTGCTCTTCTGCTGCCGCGCATAAAGAGGCACCATGATTTATGAATCAATTAATCACTGCATGCTGAGGAGCTGTTCACGGTAGTTAAACAGTGAAAATAAAAATGCTTGAGTATATAATAGAGACAGATCATAATGAATATGACCCTCTAGCAGTGAATTCTCTCCCTCCTTATTTTATATTTTCCACCTATTCTTTCCCAGCACAGCCATGCTATCAGGACATGATATTTGTCCATCTCAGATGGCATGAGTTTCTTAATAAAAGTGGTTTACTTAATAAAAGTTTACTTAATAAAAGTGGTCTCCATTTGTGTGAGATATGTATGTGTATATATATATATTATTTATATGTATGTATCAATATCACTCTTCCAGTGTGATTTCACTTTGTTTCTGAACCTGGTAAAGCCTCAGAGAAAAAAAAAAATGAAAATAAAGGCTTAGTTGGTCTCTGCTAAGGCTGCTGCTAGGCTCTGCTGCCAGGCCCCTGTGTAAATGGGGCCAGCACTCAGTGGCTGCAGTTGAACTGGGAACTCTTTGTGGAGAGCACGATTGGCATTGAGAGATCTGCCCGGGATAGGGTAGGGTAGTTCTGCATGAGGCAGGAGGTTTTACCTCCTCACCCCCACACATTGTGTGATCATGGTCCCTCTCAAAAGTAGTTCACTGCAAATTGCTCATCCTATGCTTGCTGTATTTCCCAAATAAAGCTGTGAGTGTATTTTATGCTATTAATAAATAAAGAGAGATAGAATATTCAATTAACAGAAATGTTTGTTTTCTGGTTGAGAAGCTTTTGAAAATGCTATCAAATATCTACCTGTTTTGAATTCTGGAAGGGATTTGGAGAGGGTGATGTTCTTGCCCTGTGTTGTTGTCCCTCCTCGCCCCAACACACACTATAAGCAACCATGGAAATTTTGCATTTTTGTTGCAGAGTGTGTCCTGGGTTTACTTGGTACCAAAGGCTGATACCGATGAGCAGATAGATTGTGAACCTTGGTACGAGCACACTGATTCTTAGAGGAGTTGCTCTTGATCTTACTGTGTAACTAAGTATTTTCATTCAAGCCAGAAATTAGGTGCACTCAGGTGAAGCAGGTTAATTCATTCTCTCCGCCATGCATTGAAGCTTGCAATGGAATTATAATATTTGCCATTTATCAGTAAAAGTAAGAAGTTTTTCTTCCCAACACAATCTAGTTTCTCATTTTCGTTTAACTCCGTTGCTGGCATATATTGACTATATCTAATGGGCTTTGTTTGCTTTCCAAGCTTATCTTATAAATTGGTTTTTGAAATGCACAATCAGCTGTAGTTATGTTTTACTGCAGTGACCGTGGTTAAATATTTCTTTTCTGTCCCTCTCCCTCCTCTGTTTGATTTTAGGACTCAGGCTTCTCGTCAGTGATTCACGACAAACTCCAAGTTCCCAATACCATTCGGAAAGCCTGGAACGAGAAGGACAACAGATGTGACGTTTGTGCCACCCACCTGAACCAGCTGAAGCAAGAGGCCATTCAGATGGTGCTGACGCTGGAGCACKCTGCCAACTCTGACCATTACGATGCGTCGCCAGGTTCCCCGCCGCCCCTCTCCACCATCCCTGCTCTAGTGGGCTCCCGGCACATGGGCAGCCTGCAGCCCAGGGACTGGGCATACGTGCCTGCTCCGTATGCCACCTCCAACTACACAGGCTTTGTAGCCAACAAGCACGGCGGCAAACCCAACAGCCTGGGAATTGTCAATGGGGTGGAGAAGAAAAATGGCTCTCCTGGACACCAAGCCAAGGTCAGCTTTCAGATGGCCACCAGCCCCAGCAATGGTAATGTTCTCAACTCTGTGGCTATCCAGGCTCATCAGTATCTTGACGGCACCTGGTCTTTGTCAAGAACGAATGGTGTCACTCTATATCCCTACCAAGTAAGTAGTTTTACATTAAAAAGCCATGCATTAATGCCATAGAAGCTTGAAGGACAAGTTATTACCAACTGCTGCTGTTGGTTATGTTCTGAGAGATAGAGCCATTCGTACAGTGAGCACCAGGACAAGGGCTGCTTCCCCCATTCAGGAATGGACTAGGTGAGGAGACAGAGCACAACCAGAGCACTTACTGGAACACCTTTTATTAATTCACCTGTTTCTGATACYAGAACTGAGGTGATGGTGTTATACTCAGATGACTGGTCCCACGGTACATTCTTCCTCTCGCAGTTGGCGTGCATGGACGTGCACAGTCTTGCTCCAGATACCTGTTTGGAGGMCACCTTGGGAGGCAATTGCAGCTTTTTGTGCCAGAGTGGAAGGTTGGGCRTTAGTGGCCTCAGTACCTAAGGTTAGGTATTAAGGAAGTACCTGCAGGGCCCTTTGTTTCCTTAAGTGCATGTGTAGTCTGTCTGCTTAGAGCAGCCGCCACCTTCTTGGATGTGGTCCAAGTTCCTTACCTTCTCATGACTGCTTGTTTGTGCTGGTGGCCTTCTGCCAGTTCACCTGCCTCCCGCTGTTCTGATGTTATCAGTTCTCATGGATGCAACTGAACTGTTAGTCTCCAGAGACCAGCAGTTTGGGGGAGACTTTCGTATAGCTCTTTATCACATCTTATCCTTGTTCTCTTTTGGTAATTCCTTTTGCATCCATATCCATAACAGAATCTTTTCGCAGCAGCTCTCAGAGAAGGGGTTTTTATGACAGGAGGTGAAAATGTTTCCCCAGGCCCTTACGTGCCAGTGGTGGGACTTTCAGAATGCCCAAAGGCACAAAGAGTGAAAAACAAGTCTGTTCTTTTCCAAGATCGCCTTGCACTCCTCTTGGCTTCCTAAGGCACATAAATATTTTTGAAAGTCGGTCTTTCTGCCAAGTTATGAACAGTTTGCAAGATAGGTTCCTAAATTAATCTTAAGCATTTATTGGTTTGAGAGCAACTAAACTTACAGTCAGGGGGGAAAAAAGGCAAGGAATTTCATAAACATTAAGAAATTGTCATGCACCAAAGAATATTGGGTAAAATGAAAAATGAATTACAGTTATTTTACCTGGAAAATATGTGACTTTATGGTCTTGTGAGATCTATGCCCTAGTGAACCTGAATCCTATTTGGGAAGGTCAGTATGTGATCTTGTTTTGATGTAAGAAAAGAATATCTGATCTAAGTTATCTGAATGTGCATTGCACATTTAAAAAAAAAAATGTGTATTAGGAAAATGACTTCAGTTTGCTTTGTGTTTTACTTCACCTTTTGACTGTTCTTCAATGGCTCATTTAATCTTAAAAATATTCACTAAGAAAAATATAATATTCAAAATTTTCTTTCCTGTTCTTGTAGTTTGGCTTCAGAGAGCTTAGGGACTGTTACCTACCCTTTTCTTCCCCTTTTGATAACCCTGAAATTAAAAAGATGGTAGTTGGAGCCAGCTAGTAGAGTTAGAACAGCAGACCCTTGCTGTTCTAACCCTGATCTGTGGTGAGCTGGTTGTTGGTAATTAGCTTAATATATACTTCAACATTAATTTTCAAATGTTGAATTTTTCACTGTAATCAAAGGTCACCTTTAATCATCCAGTCAAGAAATAGTAACAGTAGCTTTTGTCTTYTGACACTTCAGAAGGATTTTAGCATTTGGTTATACAGCATCTCTGTCAGACTGAGAGCTAATCGGGTAAGAATGACTTTGTGAAGTCACTTCTTTGTTTTGAAATAGTAGGGAAATGCAAGGATTCCTTTTTCTGCTTTTGTATATAGAACACAAGTCTTATTTACTACATATTCTCGGAATGCTTTAGATCTCTCTTGCCCGTATAAATATTCCTTTCACTATGTACTTAGTGTTACAGTAACAAAACCCTGCCAACGAAGAGCGCTAAGCCAGGATAACTGATATATCTTCTAATTGGAACCCTATTTTTCTTGACTTGAAGGTGAATAAAAAAAAAAAAAGTGCTGGCTGTTAACTAGAGAATGTCTATATATAAATTAAATTTTCTTGCTTTCCCTTAAGAACAGTAATTAGAAAAGTCTCACTAATTAGCCATAGTAGAAGAGAATTTCTTGGAATTAAAAGCATTACATTTCACACAGAGATACAATGCCCTTCTATATCATAATTTTTCAAAYTGATGTCCAGGGAGAAGTAAGTCTCATGGCTCTAGACTTAATGGTGCCTCTTGTAGACCCCTCTCATCGTAAATTAACTTTGTTAGTCTAGATAACATGACAGAAATAGTTAAAAAGTGACCTTATTTTCTTTCTGAAATGTAACCAGAAAGAGACAAGACTAGTTTGGAAGTGCCATTCCATGGCTCAGAACTGACTTGCAGACATCTTAGGCACCAGAAATATCCTTTATTTCTAAGATGTTACCCCTTCTTAGACTCTTCTCCTTCAGACTACCTAAATCCAGAGCCTTTTTATGGGGAATGCATTGCTGCCTCTGTTTCAATTCTGATGAAAAGATAGATACAAAGTGACTGTTCTGATGTTCTAGTGCTGTACTGTAGGCTGAATCTGAAATGAGATCCCAATTAGTCCAAGATTTTTTTTCTTTTTTTTTTTTTTTGCAGAAAGAGTAAGTAATTGCTACCAGGAGTAACTGAAGCGGCTGTAAATTTGTATGCTATCAGATTTAGTAGCTTAGTGTATGTTTACAGCCTAAAAGTTAGAAAAAGTAATAATGTTTCTGACTGGAGATGTATGTCAATACCTCTCTGTTGATGCAGACAGTGCACAGCAATCTAAATTACCTGGAGATGTGGGAATTAATTAATGAAGTCTCCTATAAGCAGAGTAAAGAAATAGCTGCTAAGAATTGTTTAAGCACAGTTGGTTCTGTGAGGAATGAGGTGAGGAATGGACTAGATGTTGTCACCGCGACCTCGTTTTCTGTGATTATGTGATTGGCCTCCATTAATCAGAAGCAAATCTGGRTCCAAAAAAGCTATGATTTCTGGACCCCATGGCCTGGCTCACAAATGAACAGTTGACCTTGTTTTCTATAAGGGTCCGAATCAAAAATCCTAATTGAATGTCAGTATCTCAAGATTTCTGGTAAGTGGCTCTTTTACAGAATGAGGAGTCAGGCAGAGAAAGCGAATAGGGTTGACTAAGCTTTTTATTTTCTCTTGGGAAAAATTGTGCCCCATTAAAACCCTCTTACCAGCATTCAAATGCTGCAGTAGTTGACGGTCAGAAAAGTGGCATATTTCTGATGAATGCATGCAGGAAAACATCGGGAGAAAAATCCAGCAGAATTTGATAGAAATTTGAAAATCATACACACCAGCAGGTAGCACTCATATTCTCCAGGGATATAACTTTATTTTAACATTTGGAAAGGCTTTTGGTGGTCTTTTCCCTACTCATGGGGATTTCACTCCTTTGCTACTTGGGAGAAAACGGAGTGAAAGTGGAGAGGTTTTACCTGAGAAGGGCTCTAATTATTTGTACAGCTGCTAATGTGCCTTACAGCATACCGCTGGGTTAAGTACATTTCTGTTGCTTACCAATTGTCACATAATACTTTTAAAGAGCAAGAAACCTTTAGACCTGGGGTACTARTATAGGAGTGAAAAGTTCAAATATCTTGATTAAAAAAAAATTCTCTTCCTCATTTTTATAAAGACTGTGGTATTAAATTGAGTGCCTATATTTTTTATTATTTTGTTAATCAAAGCTACCCAAATAGTTGAAACGAAAACACCATATTAAGCAACGAGATATATTTGAGTCATTATTAGTTCAGACTGATTTAGGGTCTACTTTCAAATAAAAAATGAGTTGAAAAGAGTGCAGCCAGCTTAATCCRGTCACCCAAAACACTTATTCTGGAATAAGAATGTCGCTACACCTCTAAAAGAAAAGGATGTTGCTTTCTGCATTGTGGTGTGAACTGCAGAACTTCAACAGAGGTCACTTTCTTGGTCCATGGACAGATCTCTGGTTCCCCTCTTGGTTATGCAGAAGAATCTTTTCATGTCTCTAGATTTTTACGTAGATTGTTAAAGAAAACAAAGTTAATACASCATGTTAGTTCAGTTTGGTACAGCTGAGTGACAGGAAGGTGAGAGCAAACAAGGGGAGAAGACCAGCAGTTCCAGGTACAAAATGGGCCACGAAAGGGAAGGATGAGTAATGGCCAACATGGTRAGCAGGTGACTGTAGAGATGGACAGGGTGAGCACTGTCCTCACGTGTCCTGASGCTGTGAAGTTTGCATTTGGTGCTGTAAGGATTTGAGTGAGGGTGTTGTGTTTGCAGGGCTAGTCAGGGAAAAGGTATTCCTTTCTCTGTGGTGCTTGAAAAGACCCCCTGTGATGAAAAGTTTGGAAAAGGAGATCTTAAGCTACTGAGAGCCCTCGGCCCCAGGCATAATGATCCCAAGTTTATTTGGAGAGTTTTCAAAGACTTTGTTTGTTTGCAGTTGATGAAAGCCTACAGTATGTGCTTTCTGTTTCCTCTTTGTGTATAATATGTGTTTGGAAGAATATTGYTCCCCGAGAAAGTACCAGCTTGTTCTGGAGCCTTGCAGTGATGAATGGCTTGTTTGGAGYTTACTTAGATCGCAGCTGTCTCATACCAAATCGGTTCTTTCAGGTATAGCCTTTTAAAAGGAATCTGATCATGATTAGAGTTGGGCACAAGATGGAGAGTTTGGATACAGAGCCAAAGCCTGGGTGAGGAATATTCACATCCAGGATTTTGATTCCAATTTTTTCCCCAAGGTTCTGCTGTCTAATTTATTTCTATTCCATTTACTGCTGTTGCCTCTTAAAATGTTCTGGAGGATAAGCAAAAATGTTAGTGATTGCTACAACAGTGCCAGCATAATTTAAGTAGCTTCTAAAGCATAAAACTCKAGGTACAGAAATCCTGTTACTTGCTCCATCTGCAGCCTAACAGGTGTCTTCCATAAATGCTGCATGCTTCCTAGAG